TGGACACGGCCTGGATCTGGCAGGCTGCGGGAAAACCTCGGGATAAACAAAGACACTAATATTAGCGTAGATGCCATTCTTCTTATGATGTAGCGAGTACATCAAGATTTAAGGGAAGTGTTCCCAGTTCCGGCTGACCTAATCTATGCAGCCTAACATTGAATTTATAGAAGTCTATAATGTATTATGTGTATGCTAGGTCAAAGAGATGTGTTTTTAGTCTAGCTTTGAACTGACAGAGTGTGTCTGCTTCCCGGACAATGGTAGGAAGACTATTCCAGAGTTTTGGTGCTAAATAGGAAAAGGATCTCCCGCCTGCAGTCGATTTAGATATTCTAGGTATTATCAACTGGCCGGAATTTTGAGATCGCAATAGACGTGACGGACTATAATGCGTTAAGAGCTCGCTCAAGTACTGCGGAGCTAAACCATTTAGTGCTTTGTAGGTAATCAACAATATTTTAAAATTTATACGATGTTTAATAGGGAGCCAATGCAGTGTTGACAGAACCGGGCTAATATGGTCATATTTCCTGGTTCTGGTAAGAACTCGAGCTGCGGCGTTTTGAACTAGCTGTAGTTTGTTTATTAAGCGTGCAGGGCAACCACCCAGTAGAGCATTACAATAATCTAGCCTTGAGGTCATGAACGCATGAACTAATTGTTCCGCATTTCCCAATGAGAGCATATGGCGTATTTTAGATATATTTTTAAGATGGAAAAATGCAGTTTTACAGATACTAGACACGTGGCTTTCAAAAGAAAGGTTGGTATCAAAGAGCATTTAAAAGGGCTATTTGTAGATTTCAGAAACCCTTAAGCCATTAAGTGAACTGCAGCCAGCAACTTAGTTCACACTTGGTTAAAACGAACTCTGGTGCGATTGCAGTGTTAGTGCGGTTCATTTGAAGAACTTTCACACTTGTAGTTCAGTTCTTTTGGTCCGAACCAAAAAAGTAAAAAATACATTTTAACACTGAACTTAAAGGTACAAAAAAAGAGAGGCTTTTATGACACAGAACTTGTTAAAAAACAATGCTGTGTCCTGGGCTAAATTAGCTCGCTGTACATATGATGTTCGACAAGTTCCGTCGCAAAATATACACCATAAAAGCAGGGGTTTTGTATCTTTAGGTTCAGTGTTAAAAATGACCATCTGAATGCTAAAGTGAATCAGGACTAAATGTATCATTTACTTTTTTGGTCTGGACCAAAAGAACCAAGAGAACCGAACTACAAGTGTGAACACACTCTTAGCCTACAGCTCGTGCTCACACTCGTGCACTAGGAATGGACATTCTAGATACATTTGGGATAATGTACACAAATCAACAAAATATATAACATTGTTCTTGTGGTTTTTGGATATTCTAATTTAACTAAATTTAATTGCACAAACTATGTACAATTTTAATTTGTTTATTGTGAAATAACACAAACTAATGAATCCATATTAAGTTTGTCTGTCCTCTGATAAGCATTGTTCTGGGCTGAGTTTACCAAAAGCAACATGTGTATAAGCTGATTGCAAAGATGGAAGTGGTTTCTTATTATGGTTTTAAGAAACGCAGCCTGTTCAGCAGTGAGCCAACGCTTTCTGTGGTTGATTGGTTCTTGCAATTGCGTGTGAGCAAGAAATAGTTCTATCCGAAACAGGTGTTGTGTTGTGTGGGGGTGGGGTAACTGGGGTTAGGATTAGGCAATCGGGTAGCAGCTTCAAAAACTATAATAAATAATAAATAATTTGATGGGGAGTTAGTGTTAGGGCTTTCTTAGACAACGTAGGAAGTCAGGAAAGGTTTCGTTTTTTAAGATTCATTACAAGCTGTTCACACATTGGCAATAAAAAAAGTGAACATGTGAGTTCTACATGAAAATTTAGGGTGCTGTGTCTTGCGCGAGATGCTGCAAAAGATGCCAGCGCAATGGTAAAAGACATCCATTTAGAGCAGTGTTTCCTAACCCTGTTCCAGGAGGCACACCAACACCACCAGAGATAGTCTTCTTAACCCTCTGGGGTCCTTCGGCCCAAATGGACCCGAAGTATTTACATTTTTTTTTTTTTTTAATCATTGCTTTATCGGAATGGTCCGAAATTTGGTGACTTTGTTGGTACTTGGCATATGAACACCCCAAAAAATTGGGGACAGGATTTGAATAGTCTAAGGCCCCGTCCACACTACTGCGTTTTCGTTTAAAAACGGAGACCTTTTGCTACGTTTGCACCTCCCGTCCACACTAAAACGGCAAAAACGGAGACCCAAAACGGAGAAGTTTAGAAACGCTGCCGACCCGTTTTTCGTTTTGAATCTCCGGAGGGCGTTTTAGTGTAGACGGGTCAAAACGGAGGACTTTAGAAACGATGACGTAGTAGAGGCTCACGCTCGGCTCTATGATTGGGTGTCATCAGTCATGGCGTATATCTTTGCTAGCAGCTGTTGTACAAGTAAATTCTGCATTTTACAACGCTATAACTGCCTACATGCACCGGAGTCAAGCTATTATTCGAGTGATCTGTGACAATTCCCATGTGCAGCGGCGGCGTTGACCGTACGGAGCGTCGGTTTGTGGTTAACCCAGAGCATGGTGGGATAATTTTATCAATGAAGTTGTGTTTACACCGGCACGCGCATGCCCAGTGTTGGTGAATGGTCACGTGATCCACGTTTTCAGTCGTTTTAATGTGGACGGAGATCAATTCTAATACGCAGCTAAAACGCTGGTGTGGACGGAGATCGTATTCGTTTTAATTATCCGTTTCTAAACTAAAACGCAGTAGTGTGGATGGGGCCTAAGTGGTTGTAAAAAAAAATAGTCACACTCAGGACCTTCGGGTCCAAATGGACCCGCATAGGAAATGAATGGGAAATTGGCAAAAATGTGAAAATACAGTTATTTTGTGCGTACAAACTACAAATCAGCCACGATCCAGAAAAAAAGCACACAACAGTGAAGGGGTGAATCTATAAAACATCAAGAGTGCAAAACAGACACATCCACACACACACACACACACACACACACACACACTTTTATACACATACACACTAATAAATTCAGATTACATATGGGTTTTGAATTTTTAAAATGCTCAGTTTGTCCACCAGATGGCATCCATCTCATTTCAAAAATTGCTTTCATGAGGCCTAGGCTTGACACTAAAATGAAATACAGCTTTAAAAATTTTTTACAAAAATAAAAATATATTTTTTAAATTTCTATTATATTCAATGGGGAAAAAATGGGTCATAATTATTGCATTAATATTAATTATAAATCATTTTTATTTTTGAAATTATCTCAAAACACCAAAAAAGAAAAGAAAAAATATTATAAAAAATATTAATCCCACCCTTCCGGCCCATTTGGACCCGAAGGTCCTGAGTGTGACTCTGAAATGAAGGACCCCAGAGGGTTAAAGGGAGATGAGAGGGTCTGTGGCTCTTACCATTGGAGAAAGCGTAACGGCCAACTTGGATCAGCCTATCATATAATGGCAGTGACGTCAGTGGCCAGCGTTCAGTTTTACGACAGTCAGTTTCTTGTCTATTGGCGTGTTTGACTTGTGTATAATGTTCTATATTTGGTGTTATATCGCTAATAAACGTGCAGTGTTTATGGCGTGTGCTTTACTGAGCGTAAAAAAAGAGCACACATTTCTCTGTTAGCTGCAGATTACTGGTCCCTACAGTAGGCATATATGCACTGCACACTAATCTTAAAACCATATTTAAGATTAGATTTGAATCTGTTCATTAAAAAACTGCTTAATTGGGCATACATAGCAGTGAAACTAGTCACTAAAATGTCATTGTAATTTAATTGTTGAAATCTGGAAGCCATAAAGAATACATTTATTTATTAAAATCTTTGTTTTGATTACCTTCATTCATTAAAAAGTGTTATCATTTGTTGAAACCTGGAAGCCATAGAGAGAACACATCATTATTGTATGTACTTTTTTCATTAAACAACAATATAATACAATATTTGTAATTAAATTATACATTTTCTCTTTTTTTTTTGCATTATAAGCATCATAGACCATAGTCATTCAAGTCTTATTATACTTGGTAAAACCTGAAAGCCAAAGAAAACATCTATTGTTTATTTTCTTTAGACAATATACAATCTCACTCAATATTACACAACGATTATTATTAACTCCTACTGCACATTTGCTGGTGGTAATGCTGTGAATGAGTCCGGTCACGACAGTCCCTACTCTGCCTTATCTTAAAAAATAACAGTTTTAAAATCAAGGTAAAATCTACATATAGTTCCCAACAAAAGTATTGTTTTGTGTAAAACATGTTAAGGATTTGCGAACAGGCTGTTAATTCCTTAAATAAGCTATTTCCTTACAAAAGCTGTTTATTCAGCATATGAAGCCTCTCCTCCATTGATATCCATAAAAAAAGAAAAGAAAAGGCCTCTTGTCTCTTTCCCTGCGTACTGACAAAGTCACAGCTTTAGCTTTAGCCGTTATGCTTTTTGGCTAAAGGTTGCAGGCTTGACTTCCAGTGGCTTGGCCAACACTACACGTTTCAAATTCTTGATTCACACTTGATTCAACTCATCAGTTAGTTAGTACAGAGTCAGACTACTAAGACCAGACATATATGAGTCAGATGAGGGAGACATCCAAAATGTGCGGTGTTGGTGTGCCTCCAGGAACAGGGCTGCAAAACACTGATATAGAGTGCATTTATATTGAAAATGAACGGAAAAGAAGCGCAGTGGAATGGGAAAAACACGCTCTGTGTGAACGGCCCAAGAAATGACTTTCACGATTTGTTATCGCAACTTTTTTCTTCTGTCAGATTCACTAATGTTTCTCAAATAACTCATATTTTGAGTTTCTGTTGATTAAACCAATCTCTTGCTTTAACTCGTTTTTAGTTTCAACGAACTCAATTTTAAGGCAACCAGATTACTTAAATTAAACAGTGTATCACACAGTAGGCTATATTTTTAATCGAGAGGAGAGAGAGAATAATTTGAATCAAGTCTCTGATGCTTTTGAGTCATGTAACCTGAATAATGCAAATCAGGAGGGTTATTGGGAAAATCCGTTGACTGGGATATCATTCCCTCCTCTCACTCTGTCTGTATGGACACTCGTAACTTTTTTTAATAAAGTGATCACTGCGATTAAATTACGGTCTGAATCCAGAGGTCAATAATGCTGTCAGGATTTACAAGCCAAAGAGGTACGTCAACATGCTTCAAGCTTTTATCACCAGTTTATTTCATGTATCAGGACGCATTTTATGTTTTTGAAAGAAGTCTCTAATGCTCACATCTATTTGATCCAAAAAACAGTAATATTGTGGAATATCATTACAGTATAAAATATCTGTTTTGTATTTGAATGTATTTAAAATGTAATTTATTCCTGTGATCAAAGCTGAACATCATCACTCCAGTCGTCAGTGTCAACTAATCATTCTAATATGATGATTTGCTGCTCAATTATGAATAATGTTATTATGTTGAAAATGTTGTGGAAAAAAATTCAGGATTCTTTGTTGGAAAAGTTAAAGAAAGGTTTTCCATTTGGATAGAAAGTTACATTTATTTGAAATAGAAATCTTTTGCGTCGTTGCTGAATAAAATAATGAATATTTATTTTGTATCTTATTTAACCCCAAATTTTGTCACTTTAGTAGTGTAGTTTTCACAAAAATATGAATCAGCTGTTTTCAACATTGATAATAATAATAAATATTTCTTGAGCAGAAAATCAGCATATTAGAATGATTTCTGAAGGATCACGTGACACTGAAGACTGGAGTAATGATGCTGAAAATTGAACTTGGATCACAGGAATAAATTACATTTGAGAATACATTCAAATAGAAAAATGTTTCTTCTAAATTGTATTAATATTTCACAATATTACGGTGTTCACTGTATCTTTGATTAAATAAATGCAGTCTTGGTGATCATGAGAGACTTCTTTCAAAAACAAATTCCAAACTTTTGATTGGTAGTGTATCTGAATGCATATTGTTGTGGTCAATTTATTATAAAAAAAAAAAAACCCTTTGCTTTCACTCCTTCTTAAAACCCTCCTTGTTCCAGTTTCTATTCTGGATGATGTTTGAAACTTTCATTGTCTCCTTAAGATGAATCTCTTGTTGTATTCCTCATTTGTAAGTCGCTTTGTATAAATGTGTGTGATAAATGAATAAATGTAAATGTATTGCCTGATTGACGTCACTGATGGAAGGCATATGCACGTTCATATTAATGACTGCGCTCTGTTCGTTTCACCAGAAATTGATGGCACAAAAATGAAATTGTCTAAAGGCGTCATTTTCATTTTTCTGGCATTGATTTTTAAGGTGGGTTGAGATTATTATTATAATTTTTTTTTTTTTAAGTTATTTAGTTATGCAAACAATTTATAAGTATTAACTCTTTAACACTTTTGATTGATAGGTTGCTGTGGCAGGTAATATATAGATTTTTTTTTTCTGCTCATCAATAATAATCTATGGAATAAATAATGTGTTTTTCCATTAACCATCGTCAAACTGAATACTGTCACAATACTTCATTCCAGGGAATTCCACAAAGGTGTACATGCTTGAGCTTGAATTTGAGAAATTGGTGTATAAGAATGTCACTGAGCAGCTGGACAAGCTTACACGAACAGACGTTAACAGTGGGTCTGCGATTGTAACCGAAATCACCAGCACAACAGGTAAACAAACAGAATGCTTGAAATTACACAACGCCAACACTGTAAAAGAAGAAGAAAAAAAAGAGAAAACAAAACCAGACAAGATAAGCTACTGGTAATTTCCTACCTCAAGCTAGGACATTATCCGTTAATTTTACAGATGCTTCCTTAAACCCAAAAACAAAACCCAATGCAATGCGTAGTTAAAAATACTGCTAAAACAGCTGTGAAAAATCTATACAGAAAATTTCCTTATATTACAAGTACATTTAGCCGTTTCCTTGTGCATTCAGAATGAATATTTAAAAAGGGTCTTTCCTGTTGTGCGGTAGCATTTAATTGTAAAAATGTATATACTGCTGTAATTTTAAGGACGATTTCTGTAAAAAATTAATAAGACTTTCAGCATTATGCTCTAGTAAGTTCAGAAACATCAACAGTAATAATGATAACTCATTACTTGCAGTTGGCTTGCATAAGGACGTTAAAACTCATATTTTTAAGCATCGTTGAAATTATCAAACTGATTTATGTATTGATCTAACAAGATGGAATGGTTGTAAATGAAATAAAAAAATGATGTCCAAAAGTCTATGATGATGGAAAATGATTTCTTTAGTTAGGAAAAACCTATAAATTGATAGTTCGTTTACCAACTTCACACCAATGTTCATTTAAATTGATATTGAAAAAAGAAAACTATGATTTATTTATGAAATAGTCTTTTTAAATTAGGGTTTAATTCAATAATGATGGGTAAATGAAAATGTACTGCAGAAGGGGAATGATCCATAAGTTGATTTAACAAAAATAAACTTTATGGACAATAAATTGCTGACATTATGAAAAAAAAAAAAACTGAATGTGCTTGTTTGCAGATTGCACATTGATTAACACGCATAAGAAATGTTCATGCATGCCAAATTACACGTGGAGTGAGGACATATGCAATAATTATGCCTGCTGCAAAAACGAGGCCTGCATGATAAAAGTTAATGACACTGCTGTCTGTCTGTCCGAAAAAAGAGGTAGAGTATTGTTTGATATGGCCAAAGGATTTCTTAATGATTTCTTAAATGTTGATTGAATGCTGTAATTTTTCTTTTTGTCCAGTAAGCATTAATGGATCTACTACATTGACAGAAGATATTTACGAAATATTACTAACTAATGATCCAAAAAAAAATATGGAAAAACACAAAATGGAACAAGTAGTAATTACTATGGTATGTACTGCTGAAAATCAACCCAACACGATTAAAAAACATACAAACATTTTTTTAACAGTTTTAACATGCAAGGTGAAAAGAAAATATGGCACACATATTTAAGTCCATACATGACATTCTATTAAAGATTATGCTTCTTACATTCTTTTACCAGATCTTTCATTATGGTGTTTGATGTTTTACATTTGATGTTGTTTAGTTAATTTGGTGACACTTTATTTTACAGTGTCTTTGTTACATATGTTACATGTACTTACATTAAATTATGCATAATGTTTTGCAACTAACCCTCAACCAAAACCTAATCCTACCCGAACCCTATAGTAAGTACATGGTACATGTAGTTAATAAATATTACTCAGTACTTATATAATTACACTGTAACAATGAAACCTTAAAATAAAGTTTAACCGTTAATTTTTATTACATCGCTATTGTGTTTAGTCTATGTGTTGGTAACGCTGTGCACCCTCCACCATCCATTGTTTATGGAAAGGGTGAATTTGATGAACTTCAAGTCATCATTCTCTTTCTGCATGTATTTTTATGGTGGTTCAAATCATCTTTAAGTAGTCCATACAACTGTAAAATATACAGGCAACATACTGTCATCCTGCAACGACTAAAAAAAAAAACATTGTAGTTTAGTTTTGATTTAATTTCATCCATAGAAATACTTACACTGTTTGTACATATACCTCACCTGCATGTTTTCATTTCTTTTAGCTCAAGGGATATTTCAGCACACTGAAATATTTTGATTCTCTGATTATCAACGGTTACAGGTAATAATGATAACATGCACCTCTGGCAGCTACTGTTTCTTGTTCTTTATACAAACATAAAACATTAGATAAAAGACAGAAGATGTTGTAACTTTTCCCATTTATTTAAAGGAGCGGCAGTGTGATTGTATATTTTACGGTGCAGTTACTCGGTTCAGTCACATCTCCACAGCTTGTGACGGCAATAAAGCCACTGAATAATTCTGAGCTGACAACAACAGGTGAATTATTTCTTTAACTTTTTACACAACGTTAAGCGATACAGAAAAGTTTATTACACAGTCACATCTTGTTATTTTCTCCAAAGGTCTCGTCACTATTCACGTACCTCAGGTGCAACCGATTGATATAGGCTCCTCTGCAAATATAAATTGTACTCCATCAGATAAACTCGGAGCGGTACAGTGGTACTTAACAAATGTCCAGAATAAAACAACAGAGATCACAATAGGAAATGAGGCCAACCTTACAAAGGATTCTTTGACAGACATTCTTAAACTAAAGGACATTTCAGGAAGCTGGAAAGGTATGTTTCTGCAAACTAAATCTAAAATATTTCGATAATTTAATCTGAGTTGGCTAATTTCACTGTAAAAGTGATGTCATGTTTCAGTAGCTATGTTTACATCTTCCAATTTTTATATGAATTTTGGATTGTCACATAAAAAAAAATCCCGGATGGAAACACTATGCACATAAATTCTAAAAAAGCACATACAAAATGTATGTGCTCAATTGAGGTGGATCATTTTGTTATCCAATAAGAAGACATGCAAATAAACTATGATGGAAACAAACACATTATCTGTATCTCAATTCAGAGACTGCATCCTTCTTCAGATCCGTCCTTAGTTTCGCGGGCAATGAGGGATACAACAGATGGATCCTTTTTGGCCTTTCCTACCCCAGAATTCATTGCGCGCTGGTGAAGAGAGAATTTTTTTTTTTTTACAGAAATTTCAGGATTATTAAATATATCTAATGATACAAATGTAAAAAAAAAAATATATATATATATATATATATATATATATATATATATATACACATATATATATATATATATATATATATATATATATATATATATATACACACACTACCGTTCAAAAGTTTGGGGTCAGTGAGAATTTTTATTTTTATTTTTTGGAGGAAAGAAATCAATACTTTTATTTATCAAGGACAGTAAAGACATTTATAATGTTACAAAAGATTATATTTCAAACAAATGCTGTTCTTTTGAACTTCCTATTCATCAAAGAATCCAAAAAAAAAAAGAAACTGTACAACTGACAGACCAACAACTGTTTCAACATTGATAATAATAATAAATGTTTCTTGAGCATCAAATCCTCATATTATACTGATTTGTGAAGGATCATTTGACACTGAAGACACTGACACTGGTGATGCTGAAAATTCAGCTTTGATCACAGGAATAAATTACACTTTACTATATATTCACACAGAAAACAGCTGATTTACACTGGAATAATATTTAATACTATAACTGATTTTTGTTGTATTTTTAATCAAATAAGCGCAGCCATGGTTAGCAGAAGAGAATTCTTTTAAAAGTATTTAAAATCGTACCGACCCCAAACTTTTGAACGGTAGTGTATATATAAATTATAAGCAGTTCCAATGTTGACCTATACCTTAAGATGCGATTTTATAATTTATACTCTTTATTATGTACAGAATATTTAGATAGGTTGTGAACCCTGTTTTGTTTTCAGACAGTTGAATATAAGCAAAGTCCCTTTACTAGTCATTTCACTCGACGGCCATCTTTGAAACGGCTCTCCGGCATGCGAGTGCAGCTTCTCTTTGAATGGGAGAAGAACATCAAATTCTCCAAAACTGTTCGCCAAGCTTACGATTAAATTTCATATTTGAAATCACCAATGAAATCTGACAACAAATGTCTCATACATTTTGTTTCTAAACGCTCAAATCGTGACCGAAAACGAAAATTTTCAGGCTGGATCAAGCTAGTGCGCATGCGCAGTGGAGACTCGCATCTGACTGTTTCTATAGGAACCGGAGCTCCTAACGGCAGATGCAGTGACACGATGACTTTACCAATCGGCCATTGGCTCTATTTAGAAGGCGGGACTTATTCCGCCATATTGAGCGTTACACTTTTCCCCATTCAAAGCAATACGAGTGGCGCGTCTTCTGTTATTCTATAGTCTTTGATATAACTTTCAAAAAAGTCTAGTACAAACATTACTGCCGGTCATCAATGGCAGCTGACACAGTTGCTAGGCGACAAGAACATTCCTCTGTGACCATGGCTTTTAACAACGTTCATTCGAAATTTTGCTGCCGTTCTTTAATGACCGCATTCTTCGAAGGATGCAGCCTCTGAATTGAGAGACAGACATTTACAGAAAAAAATCCATTGATATGCAACAAAAAACTCTGACTTTAACTCAACAGAGGATGCGCTTGCATAACTAGACTATAACCAGCTGACCAATTTCATTGCACAGCATCTTAAATGTTGGTTTGATCACTGAGCCAAAGTCTGTCATCAAAATGGTTGGGTATAATGACCTTCCAGAACTGTCTCATTGCGTTCCCAAACATCAGGGATCTGCCTCTGATCGCAAGATAACATGACAGCTTGTACTTCCATTTTTATTACAGATATTTTTTTCCAGTTTCCCAGGAAGTGACACATTTTGGATGTAAACGCTGGCGCTTTATTAGCAAATGTTTACTGATATATTCCATTTTTTGTTAAATTCACAATCTTGGATGGAAACATAGCTAGTGTTAAAATCTTTTTCCAGTTATGGGGGTAATATGCAGAATAATTTGTTTCTGTTGATTTGTCTGAGAAATGTAAATCCTGACCAGCATTAAAGTCTGTCTGCTTATCTATCTATAGGAACATTTACATGCGTGTACACAAGTGGGTCCATAAAACACACAGCAAGTAAAAAGTTGGACATAGCACTTCTGCCGGAAATTCAGGCCATGAGCAACCCCCAATTTCCTGACTGTAATAAAGCTGAAACAAAAACGGTTAAAACTGTAATTGAGTGTATCATTACTGACAACAAAGAAAATTACACTGTTACCTGGAATATTAATACTACTGGTTCCCTTGACGTAAAAGTGCCAGGTAAGCATCTCATTACATTTGTGCTCTCTCAATCTAACCACAACCTAAACAATGCGATGGAAAGATAAATATCTATATGGTTTTATTATACACTTGATGTTAAACAATTTTCATATCACTGCATTCTTTAGAAATCCAGAAGAACGGTATATCTTACAAAGCAGAGATGATCATAGAATGTAAAAACAAGGATGAGACAGTTAATGTTAACTGTACATTCACAAACAGCAGATCTACAATTAACAAAACCCGAACGAAGAATGTTGAGATCCCCATCATTCTACGTAAGTGTTGGTGTTTAACTATTTATTAAATTCTATATCTTTTAAAGTTGCAGACAATAACTCAAAAATGAAGTGTGAGATTTCTTTTTTAAACATATATATATATATCAGTGGCGTAGGTTTGATTTTGAAATTGGTGGGGACGGGGACATCAATATAAATATATTTTAAGTTTTGATCGAAATTATTGCTAGGGATATATCAGTGTCACTGGATATTGGTAGGGACACGTCCCTAGCGTCCCTACTAAATTCTACGCCCCTGATATATATATACACAAACACATGAATTACAAGCTTGCCTTAATGCTAGAGATATTTTAATCATGTTAGCCTAAGTGCTTTAATTTTTAATAACTTTCAGCCTTCATCTTTTACTCAGCATCATGTCCAAACTTATGGAAGCCCATTTCTGCTAAAAGGAGGAAGAAAAAAAACATGCGTTGGTAAAAGACTATTAGGAAATACAACTTTTGAGATATTTTTATAAATAAAAAGAATTATGAGATACTAAGTCATAATTACAGACAGTATATGTAATAATATCAATCTTTTATCTCATTAATTAGTATCTTATCCTTTTGACCTTTTATATTATAATTATCACTTACCAAACTATGATTTTGTTTTTCTTATGTGGCTGAAAATGGGCTTTCATACAAAAGCATGTACAGTATGACTTTTTTTTGGTCTTTGGAGAATTGTAAAGGACACTCTGGGTGCTCTTTTTCAATATAATAGGTGTTTTAAGCTCCAAAATGTAAAAAAAAAAAAAAAAATAGCCTACATCTTCCGAATCCATACGACAGCCCAAAGTCATATTCACTGATAATCTTCCCCTCCATCAAAGCTCTGAATTGGAGTGCAAAAGTACTGACTACAGAAACAGCATTTGAGAGCTCTGGTGGGAGACTTATATGACTTAGAATTACTGTTGTGGTGCTTTTTTGTCATTTTAAAATTTCACTTTCACCTATATGGAAAAGAGTGGCTAGGATATTATTCAAAAAAGGTCCTTGGAAGAAATTAATTCAGGTTTGTAACATTATGGTGATTAAATGGGGACACACATTTCATTTTTGAGTGAACTAATGCTATTGGATATGGGTGAACAGCTGCATTATTTTGCTTCTTCCAAACAGATGCATATTATACTTACTAAAACCTAGTGAATGTTTTCTGATTTATAATTGTGAAAATAAAAAAGACGAGAAAAACAAATCTGTCGTTTTTCATTCATTAATATAGCCACGTCAACATTCTGTGAAGCAAAGGAAGGCTGGCCCAACACAAAAAGCAATCACATAGCCAGCAAGTCTTGTATAGACGCTGTTGGTTTGGAAACAAGAGCATGCAATGGCAACGCATGGGGAAATGAAATCCCTTCTTGTGTGAATAAGGACCTGGATTACATTCAAAATCATGTACAGGTATCACTCTTTGGTATTCATTTACCCATTCTTCATTGCTGGACAGATTTTCTTAGTAATAAACACTTGATTTTTTTTTTTACCTTCATAATAACAGATATTAAATAAAGGTATTGGCTTTATGAGGGACAATGCAAAAGCACTTTTTGAAGGCATACAGAAATCGAGCACAAGCGAGACATTCAGCTCATTTGCAAATATTAACGCATCTGTAAATATTCTCGAAGGTAAATATTCTCGAAGACATGAATAATATATCTAAACGCCAGTCAAATCAATGGAATGATACTGTCCTACCTGTAAGTATGTTTTCTCTTTAGATTCTCTAAAAAATTGTGTTAACCATCTTATTAATATTTATTCTTCTTTAAACCTTCAGTAATATTTGACCTAGGGTTGGGTACTGTTCACATTTTAACCGGTACTCAACAGTACCTTTTTCCGGTACTTTAGGCATGTTTACCTCAATAACTGTAAATAAACTGTAAGAAATGTAATTTATAGACGTAATATAAACATTATGCCAGAGCTGCCTTGGTCGCTGTCTACGATGTTTGTATATTCATTAAAACAAAACCAAAAAAAATATATACAATATATATATATATATATATATACACACACACACACACACACACACACAGTATATATATATATATACACAGTATATATATATATATATAATTTTTCATGAAATGTTTTCCACAAATTCTGTGTTGTGAATTTTCTTGTAATCAAATGAAGACACAATATTAATTTAATTTCTCTTTTAATCATATGAAATTTAAAAACATTTTGTCAATACAACATGCTTCACAACTGAACTTTATACTGTTAAAATTAAAACATGGAAGAAAAATAGATTATTACTTAAAAGTTTGTTAATTTACTATTATTGGTGTTAGTATTATTATTACATTGAGACACATCTAAATTCTACTGCACAACAGTAATATACTCAAGTAAAACCGAGCTTTTATTTTATTTTGAAGTGAAGACATTTGAGTTTCCGTGTGTTTATATGACGATAGTTTTTCTTAAATGAAATTGTAAATGGATGATCTAGTAGGGATTCTCAAAACGGCTCTGGAGATAAAGTTCATGCATTCGTGTTCTCATTTAGTGAGGCGGCAGAGACTGAAAAACACCACAAGCTTGTGTGTGTGGGGGGTAAATTAAACCGCACATCTCAGAGATTCACACGGAGATTCAAGATTCATATTTAAATGGTCTTACCCTCGCACCCAGATGCGTTCTCATGTACCAAAATTTGGCACCGATTGATTTAATGTGAATCGTTACTCAGTAGTACCAACTTAATTCGGTCCTCTGCAAAACATATTAAACTCACCCAAAAACATTTACTTCATGCTCCAAAACCTAGTTATTGTGTCAGTAAATGGGCCAATGCCACCAAAATGAAACTTTTTTTTTGCCATCATGTGAGCCGTACTGGTCAAACTGTTTAGATACTTTTTCACCATGGGTTCCTGAAAATGTGTAGACAAAACTGATGTCTATCACTCTTTAGATTTGTATAATTACAGTATTTTTTTATTTTGTAGCATGTAAAGTCCCTTTCATTTCACTCCATCATTCATTCAAAATGACAATTAATCGAATTCCTCTGTTCAGTCTAATCGCATTTCACTTTCTTATTGTTTTTACATTGCAGAACATCGTCGGCTCTGCAAGCAATGTTTTAAACAAAACAGATGCCTGGACAAACCCTGAAAACGACGACACAAATTTATCTGTAACATATCTACAGACTATTGAGGGAATGGTGAGAAACATGAATATGTCCTCGACTGCTCCTTACAGGGCTAAAAATTTTGAACTGCAGCTCTGTAAGGGCCTTTGCAACTCCTTCAATGCCAGCGTCGAAACAGGCAATGAGGTTATTGTCGTAGGATTCCGGAACCTTTATCAAATTTTCCCAACACAGTTTCAAGAAAACGCCACCTCAGAGACCACCATCTTGTCAGTTACCGCTGTAAATAATACCAATGTGACTAAAGTTGTTCTGAAATTCAATTCTTCTAAAAATAGACTCCCAAATCATGATATGTATTGTGTTTTCTGGGATGAAAATAGGAGTGTGTGGTCTACACAAGGGTGTGGTTGGGGTGGTGTGAACAATCCACATGAATGCACATGTAACCACAGCTCTGCGTTCACCATAATGATGGCAAAAGATGAAATTACCCTTCCCTACATGGAGGAACTGACCTACGCTGGTGTAGGAATATCAATCGTTTCACTTGTTCTGTGTTTAATCATTGAGATTCTGATATGGGATACAGTTGTAAAGTCAGACATCGCCAATTTTCGGCATGTAGCCATATTCAACATCTGTTTATGCTTGCTGCTTGCACACACTGGATTTTTAGCATCAGCTAAACCTAAGATGATCTCCGGAAACTGGTGCTCCATCCTCACAGTAGTCAAACACTTTTTTTTCCTAGCCGTCTTCTTCTGGATGCTGTGCTTGAGTTTTGTGATTCTTCACCAAATAATATTTGTCTTTGACCATCTGCGGAAAAAGGTTTTTTGGGGATTGTCTATCACTCTTGGTTACGTATGCCCAATATTATGTGTGGCAATAACATACATTACATTCGGAAATGGTGAAGCTGAACAATACTATTCCACAAAGACTTGCTGGCTCGTTTATAAGGGTACGCTGAAGGGCTCCATCTATGCTTTTATTCTTCCTGTCGGAACTATTGTGTTTATAAACTTGTTCACCTTGGTTGTGGTGATCATGAAGATAGTAACCCCTACTGTGTCAGAGGCAAAGGCGCGGGACGAAAAGGATGTTGCCAAGAGTATGATTAAGACAATAGTCTTCCTAAGCCCTGTCCTCGGGATAACTTGGATCTTTGGATTTTTTGTAATGACTCTTGACCTTACACAAAGACCTTGGGCCCAAATGGTGAACTACACATTTACAGTACTCAATTCACTACAGGTGAGGGTCAAGCATCAAACACTATATATTTATGTACTCATACTGAGTGCATTCATGCATGTACTTTAAAATATCTTTTTGTATTTTATTACAGGGCTTTTTCATACTGCTGACAAACTGCGTTGGAGAGAAAAAGGTAACTATGCCCACTGCGTGCCCTCAATTTGATTGTTTTTAGGAATTAAGGCTGAAAATATAACATTTTAAACACTTTCATTTTGCTAACTGGACCATTACTGAACAAATTTGCTATCACAAGATTTCAGTCTATAAAACCTTTACAGAGATGCTCAAAATGTGCACATTTGATTTTCTCCAAAGGTTCGTGATGCACTTCGGAAGCGTTTCAGAGGTTCCAAGGTTAGTGCGTGCAAGGGAAATATACACTTTTACAGATGCAAAATGCATCAAATATTATAATATAATATACATATAGTAAAACAGAGCTAATGTTGTCACATTTTCTTACATTAGCAAGCAGCACATTCTAAAAGTGAAAGCTCAACCAAAGAGACATATACGGTTAAAAATAAATAAAGATTGGACAGATTCAAGGTAAGTTACATTTGTGGTCTTGAGAATATTTTTATTTCGTGTCTACATACTTTGTTCTAATGTTGGTTTTATCCCAAATCAGCATGTGAATTTAGTCGGTGCATTCTAGAAGTACCGGAAGAGAAAACATGGAATACGCGGAAACTTTTCATGGATTAAATTGTCTCACATTCTATGCAGATTAAAATATCTATAAAAAAAGAAAGTTAATTGTTTTCTAAAACACTGTGATGATTTATGATATTGTACTTCAGAGGATAATGTATATCGATGTAGTCATGTAAGTTTACTGTATTATGAATGTATTTAGATTTCTGTCGGTGAACGAATCATTTTTCTTTCTAAAATGGCATTTTTAATTTGATGTATATATTCATGTAAGTATTTATGCTTTTATGTCTATATCACCTACTTGGTATAAATATAAAACTGGTGACAGTCGTAGATGAATATACATTTTGGCATGCATTCTACTGTCCTCCAACAATGCTTTCTCTTATTATTTTTACATTTCATTTAGATGCACAGCAAAGAAAGCACATTAGTTTGTATTTTTGCTCTCATGGCATAATAAAACTTACTTTTTAATTGTTTTTTTTCTTGCAGTCTGGCTTTTCTCTCCTGTTCCCATTCTTCATCAGTATCATCTAAGGGCAGCCCATTTAAATTTGCCATTTGCCGATAGTTCCTGCTCTCAATCTCTGCCCTGGAAATACAGCGAACACCATGTTATTAAATGCCTAGTATCACATACAGTAGCCACAAATCTAGTCCATACATCAACGACAACGTAGAACAGAAAATACCAGAAAAATAATATAAAGTGTGTATAAACTATATTTGACCTCTAATTTTAGGAGTCAATACAATAAGAACTGATTATTTGACAAATATAACTCAGAAAACAAAACATAATACACACTTCGGTTTACAGTACGAGAAGTATTGGTTTATATAAGGTAACTACATGGTTTGAGGTAAGGTTTAGGGGTAGGTTCAGGGTAAGTACCTAGTTGTTACACAGTTACTGTAATAATTACTATAATAAGTATGAACAAAACTATTAAATATTATACTATTAATTAAATGATATCATAAAGCCATAAACGTGTCAAAAGTGTAATGGCAATTTGAGGGTAAAAAAGCTACTAAATGCAAAAATCATCATACTTGAAGATTGCGTTCATTTTCTTAATGTCCATAGATTTGAGCAATCCTGACCGGATTATCCCCAGAAGAGTCATGTCTACAGGTGCATGGAGGGAATGCAGGAGTCGTAGTACTGCTAGTCTTCCAGACTCCGCTACAAAGTGTGCAGCCGTCCATCCATTATCCGTCCTAAAACAAGCCCTTGCTCCATTTTCAATCAGTATCTGAACCACTTCAGTTTGGCCTTAGACAAGATCAGAGCTTCACACAACTGGGTGAATCTCATGACATCAAATCCAGAGGTCACACTTCACCCTCAATATAACTTTCATGACCTTCACAGGACCTTCTACTAATCTATTATAACTTAAACTTAGTAGTGTTAGTGTAATGATCGCTCCTTTAAACATTTAGCAAAAAAGCAAGTAACATTTAGAATGGCACATATTTTTTATTCTGAATAACCGGCCTATGGACGCTGCCCAGTGCAGCGGCGTCATCTTGTTCCAGTCCAAGACTTTCTGATTAGGGTCACATGAATTTTTCACAATTTCTTCCACTAGATCATCGTCTTTTTTTAAATCAGGTACATTAAAAACTTTGAAATGATGAAACTAATTCGGTGTACACCCTCTCGTTGCAGTTTGCGCTAGTACATGTCATCAAAAACTTGCAACTTGTTACCATAGCAACCGCTGCTTTTTTTCCTCTAGAGAGAACTGTAGGCTATTAAAAAAACATTTACATAATTATTCTATCTTAAAACTATTCACTGGGTGCTTCTCATTTCTTATTTGTGCATTCTCGTTTCCTTTCCTCGCGTCTCAGCTCCACCCCCTGTAGGACGCGAAGAAAGGCTGCAAGGAAAAAAAATGAGGACGGAGGAATCGAATGAAAGCTTTTTTTATACATTGGAATACTTGATCACTCGAGCGTCACTTCACTGCGTCATCAGCAGCGCTCAAAGGATCTGCCCTTATGTTGTTAAACATCTGTCGCAACATATAATTGCGACAGATGTGAAGGGGGAGGAGAATTGATACGTGCGTCATGTTTAGTCAGTGGCGGTTCTACACCGAATTACACCCTGGGCGAGACTCCCTTCGAGCACGGGCGAACCGGGCATTCGCCCGGGGCGGCATTTTTTCATGTCACATGGGGGGCGGCACGAGCAGTTAAAAAAAATCCTCTGCGCCACTAAGGTTTTCTATTTTCTATCATTTCAATTTAATTATTGGCAATGGCGCCCCTGCTTGCTGAGAAGGTGCCGTGCACAGAAGCGATGTCAAGGGGGTCTCCTGACTGGAGGTAACTCACCAAGGGGCCGTTCACATATCGCGTCTTTTGCGCGCTCGAGGTCGTTGTTTCAAATGTAGGCGCACGGGAAGCGCGCTCATAATTGAAGCGACGCGCTCATTTTTTCCAGGAGCAGCGAGATGAAATTTTTTAAAACTTTTTTTAGTATGGGGGTGCACCCAAACACGTGGGTGTTTTTCTCTTCTCCGTAAATAAATCTTTTAGCAGAGCTACAGCAAGCGTTTTTCTGTGGTGGAAATCCATTAGCTACTAAAACTTCTTTGTCGTTGTGGAGAGCGCAGTGCATGGTTGTATAGCAACGACAGCCATGGGAAAATCGGACCGAATTTTACTATTAATAATAAAAGATAAGCTACTGTGCATTATAAATGTCAGGAATTTATCTTTATTGACTCATTCGTTTTATAAAGATGATTTAAAGGCTGAAATATGTGAGGTTTATCTTTTTATAAAACCTTTTTTTTGGCAAAGTTTATTTGAACGTGTGCATGTTAGTAGATAACATAAAAGACACTCCTTTAAAATTTGGCCATCATCTTTAATGTTATTAACTTGGTGAATAGATTTCATTGTGTATTAGTCCTACTTTTTGAACAAGATTCTGTGTTTAACCGTGATCATTTTGGTCACTATATTCATGAAATGAAAATAATTTTCATAATGATCAACTAAAATCAACTATAATCATGTGTTTTTACAGTAGCCTATAATATGCAAAGTACAATTTTCTATTAAAAAATAATCTCTGATTCTGTCCTTTTCTCTGACATTTAAGAGTGACAGGCCTACAAAAGCTATTTTAGTTCTAAAACAGTTTGGATAATTTTAGAGTTATTAGAAATTATTTAAGAGATAAGTATTGTGTTACTACATAAGCTCTCGGCCACTTTCACTTTTAAAAACTCTGGGGGGAGGGGGGGGGGGTGGGGGGGGGGGGGGGGGGTGCTCAAAGGGGGTCTCGCCCAGGGTGTAATTCAATGTAGAACCGCCACTGGGTGTGCGGACAATATCACATTTTAACTCATGTATATCACCCTAACTGTATGTAGGGTAGGCTATATAGGGTTAACACACATGAACAGAAACTGCACTTCAACTGGTCTGATAGCAGACACTTGGACATGAGATAATTTTATTATAATTTCCCCCCGAACTGAATGAATCAGTATTTGAATGAATCGGTCTGAATTAATGATATGACTCACTCGTTTAGACAGTGACTTACCGCCACCTACTGGCTGTTTTAGTTTTATATTTAAACATACAATTTAATTGATTCCATCATTTCATATTTCTATATTCATTTATTTTTAACATTAATCTCATAACGACTTTTATGCAATTGTATTTGCAGTGTAAAAGCATTCTCCTCTGTATTAAGATTTTGACTTTTAATGACTTAATGACTTTTGTTAATTTTATTTTACTGATAACAGCTATAGTGCCTTATTATAATTATAACTGAGTAGTTTATCGATTAATATTAACCCTTTAGGCGCCAGAGGTTTTTTCCTAAAACGTTCGATTTTGACATCATAATTTCTAAAGGCTCCCAGATAGCACAAGTCTATTTGATGTTATATTTACATCTGGAAGACGTATTTTTAAGAGTGTTTGCTCATCTGCAAGACGTCTATAGGACGTTTCCTGTCAGATGTCAAATAGACGTTTAGAAGATGTCAGTTTAACATGCATTCTAAATCATTACATCTTAAAGACATCTTCTAAACGTCTATTTGACATCTGACAGGAAATGTCCTATAGACGTCTTGCAGATGAGCAAACACTCTTAAAAATACGTCTTACAGATGTAAATATAACATCAAATAGACTTGTGCTATCTGGGCTATATCTTAAAAGTGATAAAAGATAGAGACTTTCCGTAAATTAGAGAAATATTAAGGAAGACCCAAAGTTTACGTAGGGATTACATTTTCCCATCGAATTTGCATATTATGACATCATATGGTGGTCATATCTTGTATTATAGAATTTTCATGAAAAGTCACATGTTTAAATGATAAAATGCAGCACTTCTTTTCCCCCAAAATGTCCATCACCTTCTGTATGCTATATTGCACAATACTGAATGCTCAGGTATATAGTAAGTAGTAAACAAACTGTGTAAATCATTACTAATAAATGGTAGAAACAAACCGAATGCATGTAGTGATTGGCCTTTTGCTGTAGAGATTTTCCATTTACTAAATACAGTAGGCACTTTGATTCCATGTATGGGGCAAATATATTTTATTCATATGACATACAAACACAAGTAGACACGACCTGTTTAGTTCAAACGCTCACTCGCCACGGCAAGGCACAGATCATGAGTGAGATGATACGAGCAGCGCGCCCAGATCTGCCTCGCGCACGCGCCGAGTGTGCACAGCTCGGACTGCTGTCATTGTCATTGCGACTCCTCACCCTGCCTCCACGTTGTCTCCTAACTCTCCTATGAATACTTCGACCTCGTCTAACATACCCAGTGGCATTAGACAAAGTCTCCACCACAATACTGTCGCCGCGATTGCGGAGAGGATCTGATAACACGGCTCACTCGCACACTAGCTCCGCTTTTGATCGCACTGATTCAATGCGCTCTAATTCGAACATTTTGTATAGAAACATGACGTTTTTTTGATTTGGGGATGAAGTATGACATGTCTGCCATCCAGTGGAAGGGAGGACGAACGAAATTTGACACCCAATTTGACAAAATCGGCCGTTTTATTCAGAGCCGCATCTCGTCGAGTAAACTCGACCGTGGCGCCTAGAGGGTTAAGAACTTGACATATATGATGATGTATAGCCTACCTATTTAATAAGGTTTGGGTAGATATAACATCAATTTATAGGGGGAAATATCCCCACGCCCATGGGCACGACAGGTGCTGTTTGATGGGCATGATGATGCTTCTGTCCTCCACTGCATGGGGTGAGATGCGTGGCTCACTAGCTGCGTTTACATGAGCCCCTTTTGTTTGATTTAAGAATAATTCCAAACTGATGACTTGTGATTAATCAGTATCTAAGAGCAGCATCTATGAAATATGGGTTGTGTTTTAAGCATTTGAATTGTCACCTGTTATGCATACGAAATTATGAAACGCGAATGTAAACCGTGTATTGAGTCGCGTTTCAAACTCATTGATCAATATGCTTGCGTAGGAGGCAGTGAAATGTGCGCTGGTTTCTCTCCGCGTTCTGCGCTGGTGTGCGAGTCTCCTCGACAATAAACGCAAGCTCTTATCAGCCCTATCCACCGCGTTTACGTTGTTATTAATAGTGGATACTTTCATGCGCTTCCATGTCCAAGTGTCTGCTATCAGACCCGTTGAAGTGCAGTTTCTGTTCATGTGTGTTAACCCTATATAGCCTACATACAGTTAGGGTGATATACATGAGTTAAAATGTGATATTGTCCGCACACCTCTTGCGTTTCGTTTGGTCACACACCACAAGGTGTAACTGTGGCCTCAAAGCTTCAGCACTGCCACTCTGAGCTCGATTGCTGATGCCTGAGGTAAAACACGCCCCCCTCATTAGCGTGGGGATAAATACATGTGGGGATAAATACATGTGGGGATAAATACATGTGGGGATAAATACATGTGGGGATAAATACATGTGGGGATAAATACATGTGGGGATAAATACATGTGGGGATAAATACATGTGGGGATAAATACATGTGGGGATAAATACATGTGGGGATAAATACATGTGGGGATAAATACATGTGGGGATAAATACATGTGGGGATAAATACATGTGGGGATAAATACATGTGGGGATAAATACATGTGGGGATAAATACATGTGGGGATAAATACATGTGGGGATAAATACATGTGGGGATAAATACATGTGGGGATAAATACATGTGGGGATAAATACATGTGGGGATAAATACATGTGGGGATAAATACATGTGGGGATAAATACATGTGGGGATAAATACATGTGGGGATAAATACATGTGGGGATAAATACATGTGGGGATAAATACATGTGGGGATAAATACATGTGGGGATAAATACATGTGGGGATAAATACATGTGGGGATAAATACATGTGGGGATAAATACATGTGGGGATAAATACATGTGGGGATAAATACATGTGGGGATAAATACATGTGGGGATAAATACATGTGGGGATAAATACATGTGGGGATAAATACATGTGGGGATAAATACATGTGGGGATAAATACATGTGGGGATAAATACATGTGGGGATAAATACATGTGGGGATAAATACATGTGGGGATAAATACATGTGGGGATAAATACATGTGGGGATAAATACATGTGGGGATAAATACATGTGGGGATAAATACATGTGGGGATAAATACATGTGGGGATAAATACATGTGGGGATAAATACATGTGGGGATAAATACATGTGGGGATAAATACATGTGGGGATAAATACATGTGGGGATAAATACATGTGGGGATAAATACATGTGGGGATAAATACATGTGGGGATAAATACATGTGGGGATAAATACATGTGGGGATAAATACATGTGGGGATAAATACATGTGGGGATAAATACATGTGGGGATAAATACATGTGGGGATAAATACATGTGGGGATAAATACATGTGGGGATAAATACATGTGGGGATAAATACATGTGGGGATAAATACATGTGGGGATAAATACATGTGGGGATAAATACATGTGGGGATAAATACATGTGGGGATAAATACATGTGGGGATAAATACATGTGGGGATAAATACATGTGGGGATAAATACATGTGGGGATAAATACATGTGGGGATAAATACATGTGGGGATAAATACATGTGGGGATAAATACATGTGGGGATAAATACATGTGGGGATAAATACATGTGGGGATAAATACATGTGGGGATAAATACATGTGGGGATAAATACATGTGGGAATAAATACATGTGGGAATAAATACATGTGGAAATAAATACATGTGGAAATAAATACATGTGGAAATAAATAAATGAATAAATGTGTGAAAAAATACAATTATACATAAATAAGGAAATAAAAGTATAAATACTCATTTATTTGTACTTTTTTACATTTCTTTGTATATTTATTTATGTATTTTTGCTTTTTTACATTTATTTGTATATTTATTTATGTATTTATTTATTTTTAATTAAGTCAGCTTTGGCATTCCATACTCGCTCCTCGATTCCTCGCGGTGCAATTAGAGAATTGAGATGTCCTTTAAGATGGCTGAGCTCGATTGGTTTCCGGGTCATAGGATGGAGGACGGAGGACCGAGGAGACGAGGAGGGATATTGAGAAGCACCCAGAGTATAATTTTAATTTTATACCGGTTCCTTTTCTCAGCACAGATCATTATTGACCAATCAGAGACATTTGTGATAACTGGGTATGTAATCATTAATATTGATTTTGTTGGCGGATTTCTATCAGGTACCACTCAAATAAATTGATATATTTAAACGATTATGCGTTGTAATTTAAAAATGTTTTAGACAAAGGAAAAAAGCGCTCATGGAATCTGAATACTGCTCGACGAAGGCATTGAGCCGCATTGCGCCTCCTCGAAAAAGAACCTCGTTTGTCTCATGCATTAATTTTCAGGTGTCATGGTGCAATTTAGCATACTTAAAGGTTCTCTAAGCGATCCTGGGTGACGTCACTTCTTGTTGACGTTCGATCTATTGTCAAACAAAACGGAGGCTAGCTAGACCCTCCCTCCTCATCCGCACACTAACCCCCCAAACCATTCTTGTCCTTGGCTGGAACAGTTTGTTATGTTTTGGGGAGCGGGTCGCTGCAGTTTGCTTTTGTTGCTGTTTGTGGAGCCTGGGCTGTCTACAGAGATCGCGTTTCTTTACAGTGTGTTCAGGGGACAGGCAGCCAGCGGATAGTGAGGAGATGTTTGCTGTATGTGACAAAAAATGTTTTGGCCTAAAAAACGCGTGACATCGCTTAGAGCACCTTTAAGTGCACATTTAAAATATTCAAAACTATATCAAAACCATCTCTATGAACAGTTTTTATTGCAACAAATTATTCAAACACATTAAGAAAGAAATTAATACAAACTATATTTCACAAAAAAAAAGGGAGGGGGGGGGGGGGGGGGCTAGGTACTCCAACCATCATTAAATTCAACCACCATTAAATTCAACCACCATTAAATTCACAAACACTTGTGTAACTACATAAAAAAAAAAAGATCATCAAGGATAAACTAGGGTATCAACAAAACCTAACACTGCAATCAGACAAGCGTCATGCCGTGTTTTAAAATGACAAGAAACATGGCAAGTAACATCTCTAATCTTTCACAGACTTGAATGTGCAACTAACAAAAAATTGTTTCAAATGGACATCTATTTTCCCCATGAAAAAAAATGGCTTATACCTTTCCACAATAAATAGTTAAAAATGTTACTCATTTGAAGATGCACTTAGAGTCACATGAGTCTTCAGTGCAAACCTATAAAGTAACAAAAAGGGGGGGGAAAGAGTTACTTTTCAGTAGGGATTACTGAATATAAAAAAACAAACAAACACAAAAGCAAAAAAGGAATACCATAGGTAACATTTTATTTTCTAAACCAGCAACCCAATCTGAACTTCTGCTTGGTGTCATCGGGACGTCTGTTGAAAAATAAGCGAAGGGAAAAAATAAATCAACCATTGACAACTAAAAATAGATAAAATAAAAAATAGGCCATCATACACTAAACGACAGATTTTCACACCATAGAACTACACATTGTACCAAACAGAAACATGCACATCATATAGAAGAAATGACAAATGAGAAAAATGTGTTCTAAAATTAGCTCAAAATATCAAACATGCATGATACCCTCAAACTGAAAAGAATCAGTCTAACTAATTATAGCATTTTTTTTTAAAGTAATAATATATAAATAATCGGAGGCTCTGGCCATCATACACTACACAATTTTATGCAAAATCAGCCAAAATCAACTGCCCAAAAACTAACTTTCAGCAACTAGCGATGACTCCTTCAGACTGTAAAGTGTGGTGAAAATATGGGTAAAAAGTAGTGTAACGTATTCCAGCCTTAAATTAAAATACTCATCTAGAGAAATTGTGGATAGGGTCTAAAATATAAGCCTAAAAAATAAATAGCCCTTAAAGGGATAGTTCACCCAAAAATTAAAATTACCCCATGATTTACTCACCCTGAAACCATCCTAGGTATATTACATAAGTGCATATTACATTATTCTTTCAGACGAATACAATCGGAGTTATATTTAAAACATGTCCTAGCTCTTCCAAGCTTTATAAAATGGCAGTGAATGGACAGTTTCTGTCCAAAAAAGTACATCCATCCATGATAAAAGTGCTCCACACGGCTCCAGGGGGTTAATAACGGACTTCTGAAGCGAAGCAATGTGTTCGTGTGAGAAAAAGATCCATAGTTAAAACTTTATCGACTAAAATAACTAGCTTTCGGCAGACCGCCATCAATTTACGGTGAAAGAGTAACCCTTGACCTGATGCACAATGTAATGACAAACAGTGTTGGGCATGTTACTTAAAAAAAGTAATTAGTTACTATTTGTGAGTAGTAACTATTACTGAGTTAGTAACGGAGTTAAATCATTATAAATGTAACTAATTACCAGGGAAAGTAACTATTGCGTTACTTTAAAAAAATAAATAAAAAAAAGTTTTAAAAAAATGTTTAAATATGTCTGTGTCAAATAACTTGGATGCCCCCAATATTAAATATGTTAAATTAATGAAATGGACAATAAATAGAAAATAATTATTATAAAACATTGTACACTAATCTACACTATTGTAATGTTGCTGTGGGACAATGTGAGAGACACCTATTAAATTCAATATATTTTAAACATTATCATTACTATAGTAGAACAATAAAACATATAGATGGTTTAGAACTTTTAATATTTTATATTGCACAGACCACAACTGGCCAACAAATAAGTTGAAAAATAAATGATGCTTAAGAAATGTACCTAGAATAAGTGATAATAAAAATATATACATACTCTTTGTAGTGCAAATTAAAATGATAAAACTGTCACACAACTGGTAGACATACTGTAGCCTAAGTATTTTCTTCCTCACAAAAGTAAACCGTTTAACAAGAAGTGCTCCCAGAACGTTCCCTGCAGGTTATTTTTTTTATTTTTTTATTTGTATAACCATGTAAATTAATTAAAATGTTGCAGATGATACCATTGTAAGACTGGAAAAACTGGAAGAACTGGTTGAGGCTGAAATTTAACATTTGATCTCCCCCTCGTGCACCATTGAGACGAAGGTCCTCTCACCTCTCTCCTCTCTCTCACCCCAATGCGAAGATCACCAAAAACTCACCCAAGAATCTAAATGGTTTAATGTGAATGATTATCAGAGTATTATATATGTTTAGTATCATTCGAAATGTCTCAGTGTGACTGGTACAAATGTCTCATTTCCAAATAAGTAAAACAAAAGGTAATAAGGTTTTTAATAAGGTCCTTTATACACACAAAGGAAGGTGGATGGTTAAACCCTCCTGCTCTCAGAAGGTGTTAACTCGGAACCATTTGCTAATAGTGGGAATTTGCATCAAGTAAATCAACTTCTGCCCCCAGTAAGTCTGGGAAGGTGTTAAGGTGAATTTCCACTGTGAACTCATGTTTACATATGAAATGGGGTCTGTCTATATAATGAAATGCAGCAAAGGCTCGGGGCCTTTTCTGTACTTCAGATGAGCCTGTGAATGCAGAGTCGCCGAGACTCTCAGCTTCACGTATTTCCTAATGTCGGGTTCGTCTTCTCTTTATTCCAGAGCATTTGATGTTTTGTATTGATTATCTTTGAACGGATTATGAAATTGGAATGATACTTTTACCTGACATAAATTGTTACATTTTGATTATAAACTTTGACAAGTTAAAAGGAATAGTCAAGCTTTCGCTTATATTTAATGATGCACATATATCATTAAAAACCTTTTCATTTATGGAGTCAGATGAAATAATGAGAGAATACATATGAGAAATGTATTGCATTTAATCAAAAATACTTTGCCACGAGAAAAGACAGTAACACGCAGAGACCTTCACCCGCTGATCGGATGCTTGACTTTGGGCCGATCTAGCCAGGCTTTACAATACCAATAGGCTACAGAGATTATATAATTTGTTTATAAATAAATGACAAATTTCAGCATTAGAATAATGCTCGGATACACCCTCGGTCTCTCGCACACTTTTGAGCGCGCTCTCGGACCCACTCGGTCTCTCTTGCACACTGTCGGGCGCACTCTCGGACCCACTCGGTCTCTCTCGCGCACTTTTGAGCGCGCTCTCGGACTCACTCGGTCTCTCTCGCGCACTCTCGGACCCACTCGGTCTCTCTCACGGACACCCTTGGTCTCTCTCGCGCACTGTCAAGCACGCTCTCGGACACACTCGGTCTCTCTCGCGCACTGTCGAGCGCGCTCTTGGACCCACTCGGTCTCTCTCGCGCACTGTTTATATATTTATATATATATAAAATGTTTTTTTTCTGGAACACAGATGTAAGGACGGGTCGCATGAATGGTGGTGTTTCATTAGTAATATTATTATTAGCGTTAATCACAGGTTCGCGTTTAAAGTCTGAACATTTCGACGGAGGTGAATCAATCAAAGTTAACTTTAGCTGGAAGTAACATTATTCAAGAACCGCTATAACGCCAAAACAATCTGTTACCTTAAATTATGTTTATCTCTGTAAAGCTGCTTTGAAACAATCCATTGTTAAAAGCGCTATATAAATGAAGATGACTTGACTAGTGTTTTTGTTGTTGTTATTAATAATTGCTCACACTTGCAATAGAGAAGATTTGACACATGGCACTGACAATTCAACCAAATACAAAGTATTTATTCTCTTCCTCTTCTACCTGCACCGTCTTCTCCTCTAATGGGCCCTTTTCGCCACCTTCTCTGGACCGGCATCCTCTAACCTGGCCTTTTTAGGGGGCTTTCCTCTCAGGGCGAATGAGAGGATGCTTAATTGCTTTTTACCCAACATGACATCATGACTTAGCGTAAACATACACGCCACTTTCAAGTCAAGCGGCGTGTTATCTATTCGCATTTTGAGCTATCCGTGTGTAATGTATGTCCACGCCGAAATATTTTGCGTGTATGTGTACGCCATTAAATGTCCGAGTGATTCCGCGTGTATGTGTACACCGTTAAATGTCCGAGCGAAACGAAGCAAAATCTATATCTACATCTGTGGAGCGATATTTCTTTTCCTAGGATGGTAGGAGAAGACTCATAAATGGTATTAACCCCAGTGACGGGTAGGTTTAGGGACGGGGTTGGGGTAGGTCATTTATTTATATATACATAATACAGTAATATAACGTTAAGTCAAAGGCGTTTATAAACACGCTGAAAAGCGATTATGCGTGTTGATAGCACGCCAAAAATGGAAATACGAATTGGCGTGTCATACATACGCCGTTTCATGAGATCAGTCTGTTTTTACCTGACATCTTTGAAAGACAGATGCAATGATTAATGCATCCATGGCCCGGATATAATTATAAAAATATGACATGATTTTAAAAGTGACCTATAACATCGACTATGCAATACACTTTAATTTATTTAGTGCTTATAAAATTATTAAGCCTATTTGGAGAGAGAGATGTTTATAATTTGACTATGTCAATAACGAAAATATGATTAGGCCTAAACTACTTGTTCTGAGCAGGTGTTGTCAGTGAACAGGCTGTAAAACTGTTGTCTAAGTTACAGACACTCATGAAAAACTCATGCTAATTATCTGGGAAACGTTTCTCTAGCAGCAATCAAGTTGCCATTGTTTGTGTCAAACAAGTTGTGAATTTTTTGTAACATTAAAACAGGAGATCATGACTTATCTTGAATCTTACCCAGATACAATAGTGCTATTTTCTAATTGGCTAATGTGTAGACCCTTTCTTTTTTTTTGATTGGCTGATAAGTGGCAGGCTCGACTAGAGAACTGCATGGGAGAGGCGCTTGATTCCTGTCGGTTCCATAGTGATAGCGGCGTGGCCAGAGACATTTGGGGCGCTGCAGCATTCAATATATTATAAATAGTTTTTCAGCGTGAGAAATACAATGTGTGGCGGAAGTGCGTGACAAAAGACCGAAATGAGTGACTGTCACGCTCAATGAGTGACACTTGAGAGCCCTGCGTCAAAGAGTATAGAAGAACAATATACGTTCTTTGCCTGCGTTCTGTTGTGGCTCGTGCACAACACTTCTCTCGGACGCGAGCTTCAATCCGTTGCGGAGAGACTCTCTTTACTCGCTACTAGCAACATATATTAGATCTCATTAAATGAAAAATTAAACACAATGTACTATTTAAATCTAACGCCGATTTGTGGCCGTCACATGGGTTTTACGGCGCTGATTCCCATTGTCCACAACTTTAAATGTTTTTTTTTACAAACGCCGCAAAATCCTTAATCATTTTTACCACTAACGGGCTGCAACCATGTCTTAAAAGTTTTGTTTTCCAGCCACTTTGGCTGGAATTTGCACTCTCATTTTTCCAAGGTTCAGACCTGCATCACCTCTCCGCATCACGGCACTTTTGCTCCGGCCAGAAGCAATTACCAAACTGGTTCCGCGTATTTATCACACAAACGTACATATTTTGCGACAGCAAATACAAATTATTAATTATGGAGGCTATATTCAAATAAATTTATATAAAATTCTCTTCAAAACTATAAAAAAATTTAATGCCTGTAAGAATGAAATTTAATGGTTTTTAATGCCTTAAGGCCTTAATTTTCGCAAAATCCATTTAAGGACTTATAATGCTTTTTAATGCCCCGCGGAAACCCTGTCTCACGCATTGTCGAGCACGCTCGCGCCGTTTGCATAGCTTTTGTCCAGTCCGGCGCCTCAAACACACACCAGAGAAAAAACTTTTCAGGCCATATGGCGGAGAGCCTACTCGGATGAAAACCGCGTCAGTGAGCTCATTTAGGCTATAGTAATACCGCATTTTATCGTCAGTAACGGTAACGGTGTTGTAACGGGGGAAACAGTAATTCGTTTGATTACTGCGTTAGTAACGCCGTTTATTTATGATGCCGTTATTCCCATGACTGATGACGAACGTGGAAACGCAGAGGATAGAGCAAAACAAAACAACAGTCATGAATTAGAAGTCTAAAACGAGAATTTTTAAAGAGAAATGTCGGAGGAACTTCAGTTTGTTGCCCAGCCTTATTTGTTTGAACAGTGACAGGCGTCAAAGATTACGATACTCCTATGTCATACATCATCAAGTGTTACTCTTTTGGCTTATGTCGACTTGCGTAGGCCATCTGCCGGAAGGTAGTTATTTTAGTCGATAAAGTTGTAAAAATATGGATATTTTTCTTACACAAACGAGTCGCTTCAGAAGGCCTTTATTAACCCCCCGGAGCCATGTGGAGCACTTTTATGATGGACAGATGCACTTTTATGGACTTCAAAACAGAAAGCGGCCATTATAAAGCTTGGAAGAGCCAGGTAATTTAATATAACTCAGATTGTATTCGTCTGAAAGAAGAATGTCACATACACCGAGGATGGTTTGAGGGCGAGTAAATCATGGGGTAATTTTCGTTTTTGGGTGAACTATCCCTTTAAAATAAATGATATTCCATTTGAAAAATAATTGAAAGATTTTATCACAAATTTACGAACCTTTTTCAGAATCTTCCATATCTTTGCCATTTTCCACAGTATGCAGCAGCATTGGCTCAGCTGATCCAACAGGAACTCCATCGTCAGGTTCATGACAAACTTTTTGAATTTCTAAAACTGAATTTGTCCTTGTAGAATCATTATCAATGATATCCCCAAGCTGATCATCCACCTTGTTTTCAGGTACATCATGCAATTCACCATTTATTACTAATAGTTCGATTCGATTACCTCCATGTTGTTCAGCACAATGAGGTTCACTTGTGTGATTTTCCTCTGTTAAGACTGCAAGGTTCACACTCGTTTTATCCTCTGAAACAGGTTGATCTACAGATGTTGACACAGTGTGATTTTCCTTTATTGTGATTGAAATGTTCACACTTGTTTTATCCTCCGAAACGGGTTGATCTACAGATGTTAATGCAGTGGGTTTTTCATGGGATTCAATCACCTCTGCAGAGTTCCTCAAAAACTTTGTCATGTGCTCATTTACAAGACATTGTGGAGACTCAACTTTAACATAATATGGAGGGCTGTTAGGGTCCAGCATATTAGCAATGCACTGCACAGTTACTTTCAGAGGTTTATCCACAACAAGCTCATAGAATGTATCGGTAGCTACACTGTCGCATGATCCAGATGATAGATCAAATCCTTCTAACTGACACAGAAAAGCTTGAGCTGGACTTTGCAGTAAGTCATAAGGTAGTGCTTTAACAGAGCCTTCACTGATTTCCGACTCATTTCCGAAATCAACAAATAGGACAGAAACAGTGTTTTTGCACTTATTAAGAACCTTTGCACGATACCACATCTGATCGTCGCAGTAACGAGCCAAGCACGGGTTTTCAGTTTCCAAACTATCTAGCAGAATTGGCTGCGTCTCACTAGAGTTTCCATATTCTTGGGCAACGTGGGTGATTTGGTCAAGTATTTCAGAGTTTGAAAACTGGCACCAGAAATAATTTGGTCCAACAATGCATGATGCAAAAGCTTCTACCGTCTGTCCCAAAGACACATCTGGTTTCTTGAAGAGCAGCTGGAATGTCTCCTCCTCAGTTTTGGAAACTGCCAGTAATGCATTCAAATCAAAATGATCCCATTTCTCACTCAACGAACCCAATGAGCTGGGAGTCATTTTAACTTCCCAATTAATGTCGTCATCTTTGATAAACTTGCAAGAGAGAGTATTCTCCCCAGCATCACCGAAATTTTTTTTGAAGAGCAATATCTGTTCCTTCATTTCCTCTATTCCCTGAGTCTTGAATCGATCATCTACACTACAGCTGCAGTGAATGCTGAACCTTGGGTACAACAGTAGCAGCTCATCAAGTTGACGAATTTCAAGGGGAGATACAGTTGCCTCATTTCCAAAATCTATGAACTCTACCTGAATCTTGCCATTTTCAGTTGTGTCCTTCACAATGGCACGATACCAGGAACCATCTACAGAAAACATGGCTTTAACCAAACTTCCCTGCTGAACACTGAATGCATTCCTTTCTTCTTTCTCAGATGGCTGAGGGGAATTCAATAGTTCGCTAAGGGAGAATAATGTATTCTCATCTACTGCCAGTTGCACAAAAAAACTTGTCAGGCTGTTGATGTGTGAAATATACACTTCAGACACTGTACCTGGTTCTATCACACGGGGAGGAAGATCTCCAACTTGAGGTAAAAACCGCACTGATAATTCAGGAACCACAGATTCTTCAGTAGACGTTGGGTTTGTAATCCTTTGGTCTCGGGTCATGGCTGCAGCACGCTGTAATCGATCTTCTTGATTGGATTCATTTTGAGAAATCTGTGACTCAAAGTTGATAAGTTCAGGGTTAACATCATTTGATGGTCTTGCACTAGAATTAAGCTTGAGAGTTTTACCTTTCTGAACAGTTTCAGAGCTTGTTACTCCAAAGTTGTTCTTACCTGCAGAGGGTTTTGTTTTAGCGGACTCTCTCACTTTGCTACAGACTTGAGGTTTGGGGTCACACCAGTAATCTTTCATAAGATCATTAACAATAAGCCCCTTGGATTCAACAAGAACGCTGTACAGGGGACACTTTGTAATGTCCTCATACCTTTCAGTGTTCTGAATAGTCACTTTTAAAGGTTCATTCACCAGAAGATCAAAAAATTTATCAGTTGCAGCGTCACTCCAAGTGCCATCTACGGACCCCAAAGCTTCTAACTGACATAGAAATGCTTGTGGTGGGCTTTCCAGGAGCTTGGTGGGCAGGAACTTAACGAAGTTCAGATCAATTTCAGACTCATTTCCATAATCTATGAAAAGAACAGAGACCGTTGTATCATGTGTATTGATAACCTGTGCACGGTACCACTGCTGGTCAGAAAAGAATGCTATGCACAGTCCTCCTTGGCGTAACTGATTTGGCTGAATTGGTTTAGTTTGACTACAGTTTCCAATTTCTTGTGCAAGTAGAGAGACTTTGTTAAGTTCCTCTGAGTTTTTGAACTGGCACCAGAAGTAATTTGGTCCATCAATAGATGAAGCATATGCTTCTACTATTTGTCCTTGAGTTATAGCTGGTTCCTTGAACGTTAACGGCTGGGTATCTTCATTGCAGCGCATTTGCGATTCAGTTTGAACACCTGATTTGAGAGCAGTATTAAACAAAGGACCTTCCAATACAACACCCTGGTGTTCTAAACTGACAAGCCAAGCAGATACGTCCTCTTGGATAAACTTGCATTGAATTTTCTTCTCACCATTTTCACCTGCTGATTTTTTGAAAGTCAAAATATCTTCCTGGGTCCAATCACCTTTTTTTCTTTTCTTACCATCCTCAACTGTGCAACAAATACTGAGCCTGGGGGTGCTAAGGAACTGCTTGCCAAGTTGCCTTATTTTAAGGGGCAGAAGTGTTGCCTCATTCCCAAAATCAATAAACTGCACTTGAACCATGCCATCTCTCTTGTTTTGAACAACAGCACGATACCAGGCCCCATCAGCAGGATATTCAGCTCTCACCAGGTCACCTGACTGCAACAAGTTTAGTTCAACTTGTGCATCACTTAATTGACCAGAATTAAGATTGTCGAGAATAGAAAATATTTCATCTTCATCACTTGTCAATTGTACAAAAAAACTCGATGGACTATTACAGTGTGAAACATAGATGTCTGAAACATATCCTGCATCCAAGGCTTTCGAGGGAAGATCGGTGAGCTTTGGATAACAAAGGATCACCTGTTGCTGTAAACCATTAGGCCTAGCTCTACTGTGTCCACTTGTTTGACTAGTAACAGTCTGGAAGTTTTGTTTCAATGTACCTTGAACAACTGGTTTCGTGGAAGTTTTCTCATGTGCTTGTGATGGAGTGCTTAAATTATTTCTTACCCCTCTAGACTCCACTCTTTCTGAAGTCTCCTTGAAAGTATGAGCCTTATCAGTTCCTTTGCCAATGTTTCTTTTGGTATTGTTCGACTGCTCTTTAATTTTTAAGTTGAGGTTTGTTTTCTCGTCATACATCTCCACTGATAGTTTGCCAGAGGTATTTTGTTTCACGATGACAGTGAACATGCAGTCTGTAGCGTAGTTTTTAAACCACTCATTAATCTCACATGGCTCAGGTAATGTTAAATTAAAAAGTTCAAACAGAACAGCCTGAATGGGAGTAGATGCAAGCGCACTAGCATTTGGGGGAAATGGTAGAATATCAGATTTATCCAAAACGACCAAGTCACCATAGTCTACAAATTGGACAAGTATTTTTTGATGCATTGATTCAATTTGTCCTCTGTGCCACAGCCCATCTGTGTATTTAGCAAGACACATCATCTTAGGGGAAATTGACAACTTTGCTTCTGGTCGCTTGCGGCACAGTTGTTGAATATCTTTGGTCATTTTCCTGACCGTATCAGTATTTTCTGCAAAATGGCCAAAGAACTGGTTTACACTTTGGACACATGTTATTTGTACCTTAGCCTTTGCACCCACTTCAATTTTAGGTGGTGAATCAACATATGTATCAGTCTGAAGGAGTGGAGCTGCACCAATATTTGGTGAGTGCCCTCCCTCTGCAGGTTGTAGGTTTTCTTTAGATTTGGAAGGTCTCACTACCAAGACATTTTCAAGAGAACTGGAGCATCTGGTTAAAATGGGTGAATGGAGAGAATGTAAAGACACATTTCTGTCATGCATATATTTGCAAGTCACTTTGTTTAGATTCTCAAGAGTTGGGTCACTACAAATTCTCTCCGTCACGGACAAACACTGCTCTCTGTGGCCAAATGTGTTGTTCACATTTACATTGTCATTTCCATAAAGCGTTATATGATAGACATCCCCTTTCACACTGTGATGCTCGAATTTTCCAACAAGGATTTGATTGAGTACAACAGACTTCAGATAATCTATCTGATCAGTCCTCCATCCAACTCCTTTGTCAATGACACCATATAAAGAGCATTCATAGGTGATAACTGGCAATTGGAAGAACCTTGCAGACAAGGGTCTGATATTACAGAGTTTAACAAAATCTCCAATTCCATAATCGACATGAAAGACCTTGACAACATCAGAGATGTTGTTCTGCTGAAGTACAGATCGATACCAATTGCCATCACTTCCTTTGGTTGCACATGGAGACCCATCAGACAGCGGCATTCGCATCTGAGCAGAGAATGCATCTTCATAGTATTCGTGGAGCTGATCACTTAATTTCTTGAGCTCATGTGAAAAGACATGCAGTTTGCAAAAGATCCTCAATGGATGAACAACTTGTGTTACAGTTACAATCTCAATTGTTCCAGGCAACAACTCTGGATACAAGTATTGATGCAACTTGTCAGGGTCACTGGCATGCTCCTGCTGACCATTTGTAGTCACAACGTTTGTCTGCATGGAAGGATTTATTGGCAAATCCAGTGAATGCATTACAAGGCTTTTAAAGTCTTCATTAGGCATCTTTCTAGCAAATCCAAGTTCATACATTTGTTTGGATAAACTTGGAATGTCAAGGAGAACAATTCTGGAAGGCATCATCACATCCTGAACACACCCAGATACCTTTTTCCCACACAAAGATCTGATGTACTCTGAAGCGGCCCGAGACCATGCACTCTCAAGACATAGAGGTGATACACTGGCCAGTATACAAAGCTCTACTTTGGGAGGTAGACTGCAAAGGTTGCGTGGACATTTTGTCAAGACTTTGCTTGAGGCCCAGAGTAATTTACCATCATCAATTAGGAACACCTTGTATTCATGTTTAGATTTTGAAAGTATCCTTGCTCTGTGCCAAGCTCCGTCTTCATATACTAAACATACTTCTCCAGGTTTGCCTTCAAAAGTTTGCTGCCGTTTCCTAAGGGCGTCAATGTCTTTTTTTAGTTGTTGATATACATCAATGGCCTCTTGTCCATGATTTAAATTCCCTCCAAATTCCACTAAGATAGTGTGTGGGTTTAAAGTGACTCTTGCGATATGAATGGTCGTATTGGATCCGACTTCTGGCAAACCAGGAATTGAACACATCTTGGTTGAGAATCTTGCCTTTCCAAATGGTTAAAGAGCATAAATGGGGAAAATCTGAAGAAAGAAAAAGAAGAACTTATTAAAAGAAAAGTTCACCCAAAAATAATTTACTCCTTTACAAAAATTATTATTATTATTTAAATGGAACAAAGAGCCTAAACTTAGGTTTCTTTTCCAGTTTCTTAATGTAGGGCTGTCAGTAATGATTATTTTCATAAATGGATGATCAAATAATAAAATCAACATTCAATCTAGGGATCCTCATATTGACTAGGGCTGGGTAAAAAATATCAATTTCTCGATATTAATCGATTCTCATTTTTACGAACCGATATCGATTCTTAAATCTCAAGAATCAATTAGTCATCCTGTTTTCATTTGATGAATGGAACATTGTAGCGCGCATCCCATCCAATAAATCGCAATAATCTTTGTGCTTTGTTACTATTGATACTAAATGAAGTCTCAAATTACGTCCATTTTCTTACGAAATTCAAAAACATAAATACCGTTTTGGCGCTGTGGCGTGAGATCGCTCTGGCTCAGCTCAAGAGAAGCAGCAGCGTGGAGCGCACATGATCTCCTCTTCTGCCTTAATACCAGTTACAGCTATAGTAGGCTACAACTGACTCCCATAGTATACAGCATTAGTTAAGAGATTTGTTTTCCTTGAGAAAATTTGCCATGTATTGTACCTGATATCCAAAATAATCAATATTGAATCGAAATCGAATCGCAAGCTTGTGAATCGAAAACGAATTATGAAATTTGTGTCAATACCCAGCCCTAGTTGTTAAAGTGTAAATTGCATTATCTTCGTGAAAATTTTTACCTGCAATGTGCTTACTAAACAAAGATAAGAACCGCCCACCATTGTTTTTTTTATACCAAAATGCTGAATATAATATGAAAAGTTGGTGCGTTTTACAGTGGTTTTAAGCAGGCCCCCTCCCTTCCACTAGGCTGGGCGTGACGTCATAAAAGGTACTCCAAGCTTTTACTGTCTATGCTCCAGGCCTGGAGTCACGTTATATTTGGAGACCTAGCTAGCAAAAATGGTTATCTATCGTGTTGGTTATCTATCGTGTTTGTGCGGGATGTACGAATACATCAAAAACGGGGGAGAGGCTCCACAAGTTCCCCAGGACAAACGGCTGATTCGTGCCTGTAAGTGTTAGCATAACTTACCCGAGGTAGAGCTTAGATCGGGCCCAAAAAAATCAAGCAAGACCCTACCCGAGCCCGCTGTGTCCGAGCCCGGTCCGGCCCTGCCCGACACATTAACTGTAATTATGAGCCCGGTTTAAACCAGACTATTTTTTTATACGTGGGTCGTTATAACTGACGTTCTCAACTACTTTCTATATTACTTTCTCCCTCCCGCAACATTTATGTTTTGTCCCGCTCCCGCCCGCAAAAAGACTTTTTTCTGTTCCTCCAAATACTTTCAAGTTAGCCTACGTGTCGCCACCATACACATCAGCATACATGCTCCTGATCACTGTTATAACATTAAGCAAGCGGGCTACTGCGTGCATGGTCTGGCATGACTGCGCGCAAAGTGCGCTCCCATAATAATTCCTAAAAAGCTGACATCAGTTCATCGCGATCTCACACATCTCTGTTATTATCAATGAAGCTTTCATAATATATAGGCCTACACTATGTTTGTTATAATTAGAGGATTTGCCAGCATACAGAATTCAGCACTGAACAAAAAGTCCGTTTTGAGCGGTGAGGGGAGTCCATCGTAAATGCTTCTGATTGGCCATTATTGCGTTCAAGAAATCTACACATATGCCTGTGATTGGCTACATCGCTCAACGCTGCAGACATGTTAGAAATAGAAACTCTGCCTGTAAACCGTTTCTATTTTGTTTTAGTTGTTCTTATTGCTTTTCTGCAACAGATGAATACAAATGTATTTGTTTTTATGTTTTATACATAGATATTTCCAGTTTGCGGGAGTCCCGCGAATCGTTTTATTCTCCTTCAACCGGCACACAAAGAGTGAGTGCATTACCGCCCGCGCTCCCTCTTATGACGTCATCACCCAGTTACGGTAAAAAAACCCAATAAATGTTCTTTTAACGCATTTTAAGACAGAAATTTATACACATTGAGCACTTTAATTTACACATTAATTGGTTGTGGTGGTTAACCTGCAATTTACACTTTAACATGATATTCTCGGGGGAAATGAGCAGCAGTCAACAGTGCAGCACCCGTAGACTACAGTTTAGAGGAGTGCACGCTCACAACGGGGAAAGCATGAAACTTATTTGACAACATCAGTTCATATATCAATATCGTAACAAATAGAAATAACCTTAATGTATGGTTATCTGCATCTTTCCATCTCTTATGTATAGTTACTTTTTAAACACGAAAATCGCATTCAACATGACACGCAAGCGGTTGCCGTGGTAATGAACAACCTGCTTGTTAAAGCGAATGTGTTAATCCTGTATCCAGGGCCTGAATTTCGTTTTGGAAAATGGGGGGGAAATCCCCCCCTTAGATGATTCTCATGGGGGGGATTTTTTTTGTTTGAGGGGGAGAAAGGGGGGGGCATTTTTTCCAAACAAAATTATTATATTTATCTTGCCTAAATGTTTGCGCTCATTGCATTTTTACAATGGGGTAATATTGTTGTTAAGAATTTACACATCACAAGGAAGCTTGATTTAAATTGTTTAATTAAATTGAAAAACTTTTCTCTTTAATTGTCTTTATTTGTATCTTTATTCTATTGTATTTATTTGTGCTACTTTTTTCAATGGGTCTAACACTAGTATTCATATACAGAAACTGAATAAAGTAATCAAATGGAAAATAACACTGGGTAGTATTTTAGTCCTGAATAAATTACATACATAGGCTATTAATCCTGATTCCTTTAACTTAAAGCTATCTTTTGTTGTTTTGACAACAAAATTAATGACAGACACATATGGCTGCCGTCACTTTAAGAGCTAGTGCACGGATCCTGTGTTCATTATACTGGCAAGCGTTTTATGCTTAGGCCTATTAAAGACAAAACCGACTATGTTTAGAGTATAGCCTACTCACAAAGACCGAAATTGACAATTTTGCGTGTTAAAACAATATAATCCGCAAAAAATAGTTACTGGCCAGCTGTTTTTGAGGCGGATTTTCTATGAATGTGCGCATAGATAATCTCTCAGAGAGCGCACGAGCACTGATTAGTTTAAAATCGCTTGAATGTTTAAACTGGTAAGACTTAAAAAGACTTCAGTCACGATGCACAGCTGGCCCGATTGTGCAAGTGAATATTCCGTCATGTCCCAACCTCACGGTAGAGATCCACTTTTGCGACACGACAGTCGCGTGTTGTTGCGACGCCTCCCCAGATTTGTACTTTGATGGGCGTTCCTCAAGTTTACCGCTATGGGCGTGGTTTTGAGCCAGCGGCCAGTCTAGAATAGAGGACCTGCGAGAGACTTCCCCCCCGTCTCCATATGCTCTACTTCTATTGGATAGTCGCGTTCAACGGAATTCATTTGCATAAAGATGGGCATCGGCCAGCTTTTCGACGCGCAGCATTTTTCTAAATGAAGCGCCGCCTTCCCAGAATGCTTTGCGGGTGCGTCAAAGTCGCGTGACGTCACTCATAGGAATAAAGCGGAGCGCGGCGCGACAGAAGTGCCGCACGGACAAGTGGATCCGCACACAGTCTATGGTCCCGACTCCAAAACGCGAGTGTGTAACTTATTATCGCCGCAGCGCTTGATCCTTGCCTTGCACAACACATTATGAGAGAAGAGATAGAAGACGCGCGGCACCGCTGAACACTCACGCTGTTTGTGAAATTGCGTCTGGAAGATAGTCGTTAAAAGAATGATTTGATTTTATCTGTGTGGATTACGATTGCGGGAATTTCCCGCTTTAGAAATGGGAGACCTGCGGGAATGATTAGAATTATGCGCAATACCCGCGCCGAAATTCGAGCCCTGGTATCTGAGGCAAAATTACTAAATATGCAGCGCGAGTTATATATTTCTAACTCCAAACAATTAGCCACTGAACCAGCTTATAAAATCTTCTTCAAGGCTGTGCTGGTTGCATTTGAGGTACAGGTCATGGGGTTTCTCAGATTTAGCTTGAGACCGGTATAACCATTCGCCTCGATAGTAATCGTGTCTCCATTGTCAAATCGGTGTTACCGTGAGCAAATGAATTGCATTCCCGCTTAAAATGAGCGTTCGTAAATATTTCCAATAAAAGTTGCGCTCATCCTCAAATGTGTATCACTGGATCATTATGGATTAGGGGTGGAACGGTACACAGAAGTCCCGGTTCGGTTCATACCTCGGTTCAGACATCACGGTTCGGTACGATTTCGGTACAATGGAGGGAAAAGCAAAACAAAAATGCAGAAGGCATTGTATTTTTAAAATAAGTTTTATTGATAGAGGCATAGAACCAGTTTATGCACTGACATTAGTTTTATATAATTAGTTTATTAATTAAATTAATAAAAAGACAAAAAGACCTTGCGATATGTTTGGTAATTGTACTATTAATTTAAAATTATTTTGCTATATTTCAGATCAATATATTTGTTTTCCTTAATTTTAATTAACATTATGAATTGACAATGTAACATATTCTCATCTGAATTATAAATAATTGATTTCTGCATGTATAAAATAATACTACCATTAAAAACATTCAATTTTCTTTTTTTAATGAATGTAGAATGTGTAAGATTAGTGCTCCGAGGACAAGAAATGAAAACCAATGACGAATGTCCAAAAGATGGGACCCACAGACTGTTTTGAAATGGAGTTGGATAAATATGTTTTGCTTTTAAAACAGTGTGTGTGTGTGTGTGTGTGTGTGTGTGTGTGTGTGTGTGTGTGTGTGTGTGTGATTTTGGTTGGGTGACAGTTGTAGGTTACAGTTTGACAACAGTTTACAGTGTGACAAAAGCACAATGTTGTGTTTTATTGCGAGTGTACACAAATATAAGTAAACACTTTGCAGGTTTAATGATCTGTATGAACAAAATGACGGAGTATGTTTTTTATGTTTCCACTGTTCGATCTCGCGCCTCTCTCTCTCTCTCT